TACAGTTTGAAGCGAATTCTGTAGGTTTCACTCCGAGCAAATATTTGGATGCCGTCGAAATGTAATTATAATAAGCGGATAAATTTAGGTTGGGGCATCGAAATATGTCAGTCAATGGAAATGTTACAAGGCCTAGTTGTAGGTCGGTAGTTTATGGTGGTGAAAGACAATGAGAAATTTGGTCATTGGCGATGACCACCTAAGGGGCTCGTTAATTCTTTACGCGTATACATGGACGCTGTCAAACAATCAGCGAACCTTCATCAAGCCGGAGAGGTCTGCAGAATCCCGATAAAGCGCTAATTCCCGCAATCAAATATTGATTCAAAACTCACCCTCACTCTTCTTCTTACTTCGCTCGTTTTACATATAACGCCGTTATTAGAACGCGATGATTTACTGTAATGACTTTTTTCAGTAAAAGAACCAAAGCCGGTGTTAATAATGTTAATTAATATTTGAGATGTGGACGAGGGTGTAACGAATCTTTCAATATTAGCTGCAAACTTTTATTTTAAAAGAAGGGGGGTTGCACCTGCCGTTATTAGTTAAATTAAAACGGCGGCGGCGGCGGCGGTGACGGCAGTTCTAATTTTGCAGAAAGAATACGTCCGCCTGTCAGTTTGCTCTAATCACGGTTTGTTGTATTTAGAATTTATACAAGATGAATCATTTTGAAGTTTACCCTGAATTTTAGAGAGGAAATTAAGTGTCAACTCATCGCCCGAAACCGTTAACCGACCGACAATCCTTTGAATACTTTTGCCATTTTCAAATACCAATAATACCGCGTTTTAATGAAGTTTCCCACTAACCCGAGTCAAAAATGTCCACAAAACTCTTAATCTACTTTTTATTTTAAATTATCGCTCAAATACCAACTGAAATAAAGTTAATCTGTTCATGCCAAATAAAAGTCATTAGTTTGAGAAAGAAGCGGTGCATTAAAGAGCATCCTGCTTCTTGTTCGTGGCCCCGTGAATATAAAGAGTTACATTATAACAGGCTCGGCGAAAAAAAAGGCAAAACGCGATGCGGGGGTGTTTGGAGTAATTACGTTAGAGAAGAAGAAGCACCTGCTAGTGACGGGTCCTGCACCTAAGATGCCCTATCGGTGTTTTAATTACCTTCATTATGCTAATTATACGACCGTTGCGTTTCAATAAAGCATTCTTTAAGAAGTCTCCTACAGGAACTCGGTTAGCATTAAGCAGTATGCAGAAGCTGTTTTCTGACATCGCATGGGATAGTCTTATTTCGCAGTTAAAACCTATTTTCAAACCTAATTGGAGCTAGAGATTGGGTTTACTTACAACTGGTTGGGTAGTGAAACTGCAAGAGTTACTCTCATGATCTATAAAATATTTTGGCCATAAACCACTGTTAATTTATGAGCGGATTCCAACACCAACATTTCTTGTTTAATCAATCGTGAATGAGGTTAAATATCAAAACTTCATCTAAGGCAAAACTGAATAACTTGTTCCATAAGCAGGATAGGAAACCATAAACCCGTGAAATATACCTCTCGGCCCACTCAGGGGCGAGGGAGGAGAGGGGGGTTAGTTAAAACACCTTCCCGACGAAATAAAACAGCTTTTCATGAAACAATTTTCAATAATTAAAAAAATGCATTGCTTAACAAATTACGTAAAGCTGAAACAAAATATAAGTATATAAGGAATAATCAAATTTAGAATACTCAATGCGCCCTAACCTTAAACAATAATGTTTTATCCAACGATAATTTGTTAATAATCATTTCCTTGTCTTATTCTCGAACGCTTCCGAGTATACTAAAATGTTCTCTAACAAACACGTCACATTTCTCGGAAAGATTGCGTCACATCTGACTTTGCTCTTGATCGCCGATGACTAACTAATCTTTCATGGCGCCTCTATGCCTGTATAGGAATTTCTGGAATTTTCGCTACAATATGTTTCTTGATATAAAGTAATTAATAACAGCATCTAAACCAGTTTTGACATCTACCACAAACGGTACTTTTAGAGAAATGATCTACATCCAGGGGCGGACTGGCCCGGGGGGGGGGCGGGAGGCGATTGCCACCTGGCCTGTAGGTCATATTGGCCCGACAGAAATTTATAATTATGTGCTGTATTTAGTTTCTTGCGCTATTAATAAATTACTAACACATTTCTCTCATTGGGGTTGATGTTAGGTTGTTCATTAAAAAATTCTGTTTTTATTTAAGTGTTTTACAATGGATTTATCATTTTTTCTCGTATTTTGTAAGTGCTTAAACACAATTATGGGCGACTCGCCTCGTTTGTATATTTTGTTACTTTTAATTATCAGGTGCAATTAAAAAAAACAAAATTCTAATTAATTTTCGAGAAAGGAATACTTTAAAATGAAGCAAAAACCTATGCAATTCCACCTGGCCCGTAAGTACCCAGTCCGCCCCTGTCTACATCCTGTTTTTCATCTTTCGGAAGCACTGCGGTGAATTTTTTTAAGAAATCCCAGTTGTTTACAACACTTAAAATTTCTTCTCGTAATCGTCCAAATGTGACAAGATCATTAAATCGTAAATGGTAATATTTTTTCTAGAATAAGCATAGCTATAATCAGAGCCACCAGCATGTGTATCCGTGGTACCCGCCACAAATGGAAGCGTACATATGCCTATGAAGATGGAGCCGCCCTCCCCAATATCCAATAATACTCCACATTTATATATACTTAGTTATTTCATTTTTAGCGCATTTTTGCAAATTTATATTATACATATAATAAAAGGTAGCCTTTAACTTAATTTTGACCGACTGACTAGCTGAAGAAAAGGAAGAAAAGGAAAATGCTTGTAGGAGGGCGAGGAGTGTACATGTACCTACCAAAGCTGTGTAATTAACAGCTTTAGGGATGGGGCTACATGATGTGGCGACATTTTGGCGCCATCCCCGAGCGTGTTATACGAACTTGGTGATTTTTCAGTTTCCTATCTTCTTCTACAGTTTTTTTCCGATTGTTTTCAAATTGGTGTCGAAAAGATCTCTTATAAACGCGCACAACTCCTGCGTGATGGAATTTTGTTTTTTTCCTAGGGGCGAAATTAACCACCTTTTGAGGTGTCGATTTTGGACGCCCAAAGCCCAGAGTTCGAATTGCGGTCTCGTGTCGAGACTCACCAAAATTCGAATTGCGGGTAAGCGGGACGTCATAAGTGGATACCACCAAAGGGACTGTAGCCCCCGGGCCCCGACAAGATCTCACTGATGGTAGAGTCGAAACTTCAAACGCGAATTGCTGGTAAATCGGACGTCGGAAGCGGATACCGACATAAAGAATGTGGTTGCCCCCGACAAGACCTTACTGATAGTGGAGTCAAAACTGTGTAATAGAATATACTGATCTGCCACAGAAAAATGCGCTAAAGTCCCTTTTCGATCTATAATTCAAATCGGACTTGCAGTTTTTCTCCGCATTGGTTTAAGCAAAAAGTACTAACGACGCTATACAGATAAGTAATTGATAGCATCAGTAAGTAGAGAAATTACGTATTTCCTCAGAGTTTGAGGTTAGTAATCCATTCTCAAGCGAGAGTATCAGAGAAGATGCACGGATCTTAGTGGTAAGATAATCGGCCTGGGGCGAATGATCGCACGAAAGATCAGGCAGTACCGCATGACCACGAGAATCAGTACAAAGTCTCCCATTTGAAATTAACTATAACAAAAGATATCTCGTTAAAACTGCAATTTTATGATTCCTATCTGGTGTGATGCCTCATTTGGTGTCCTTTAAACATCCCCATTGAAAGAAATCCAGTGATAGACCTGGTGACCTCATTGGCCATCTTTGTGAGTCATTCGTTGCCACCCAGTTTCCATAAAAATCGTTCTAAATATTGTTCAATTATGTGGACGTTATGCGCAGAAACCCCGTTTTGCTGGAAGTATATAGATACATTCTAACGTTATGCTATCCACAAGGTTCTTTACTGGTAAATTGAGGTTCATTTGCGAAAAAGGACTTTCAAAGTCAAAAGGAACATTCACTTCGATTTTTATTCAAAAGATGAAAACCTGTTAACATTCTCAGTTCTGCTGAACTTTACAGCGGATAGGATAAAGCATCGGGGAAAACGGTCTATATCATTGGAATTGAAATAGATTTAAAACTTATTGACTAAGGTACCAAAAAAAATTATACAGAAACACTGGACTTTTCCTTTGCGCTCCTAAATAACCCTTAAATATTCAAAAAAAAACACAAACTTCATCTAGAGAAAAAAATGAGAAATTCTTGGAGGTATTAATTTAAATTTCCCGATTTAAAATTGTCCTTTGGAGAGAAGTTAAACTCCGGTGAGGATTTTATCAGTTCACTCTGACGTAATCGATTTCACGCAATCATTTTTGACCCGGAATCGCGTCTTCAGCGGATAATACCCACAAAATAGGCGCGGAGGTATTCCAGGTGGTAAAACCCACTGTAATTGAATTTTGTAATTCGTTTGACACTCGCCCTTGGTAAGTGTGGCATTTGGAAGGCACAGCAGGAAAGGCTTGGAGGTGTTTTTGGGACTGCAAATGGAAGCTCTCGAAGAGTTACAACTACTGAAAAATAATTGACCAAATAGAAGCATTGCTAAGGGAACCTACAGAAAATGCCCCACCAGGAAGTGTTCACAGGAACCATGAAACTGCAAGTCTTTGTTTTTTGTAATATAGGGTGTCAAAAGTCGAGATGTACATACACATTTTAAGTGTTAACCAGGCTTACTCGCATCATGTAGTTTTGCTTCTTTTTTGGCAGTTGGTTTCTATAAACATATGCGTTAAAATTGTGGTAACGTTTTACGAAAATGGGCGTTGAATGAAAGTTTGTGTATTACGTGATTATTTCCGTCAACAAGGAAACCGCAATTGGCCGAATTGATCAGAAATTCGTTAAGACGAGGTTTGTGGTGGATATAAAGCATTGGAGTATTTTCTCAACGAAATGGGATTTAAATAACGAATTTGACATTTTATTTGGTTAAAAAATCACAAAATGTGCGGGATGTTATAGCAGGTTGATACATATAATTTCACTTCACATAAAAGCTCTTCATGAAGAAGAAAATTTTTAGTGGGTTCAAAGGAGATCTGCTTCAAAAATCTTTCCCGTAAATAACAATAACTGAGGGGTTACATGTGACGTCAACAGTTGTTTGGAATGCTCACTGCAAAAATTGTTACTAAATAATAAATTACAAATTCTGGTCCTTAATCCATTGAAATGTCTACGTGCTACTTAAGCTTGCGTTATTAACAAACAAAAGTTTTAACTCGCCTCTAAAATATTCCGCAGTTTTTTGCAGTCCATCGCTTAAAGAAACCTTAGGTTCCCACCCTATATGTTTTTTAGCTCTCCTGATCTCCGGTTTGCGTTTTTGAGGATCATCTTCGATCGGTGCCACGTGCGTTATCTCACTATCACCCCCCACCACCTCCTTAATGATCATTGCAAATTCGTTTATGGTGTGCTCGATGGGATTGCCGAGATTTACCGGCAAAGTATAATTGGAATTCATTAAAGCGATTAGTCCGTCGACTAAATCTGATACATACTGAAATGATCTCGTCTGCTCACCTCCACCGTAAATGGTAATATCATGTCCCTGTAAGGCCTGAAGAATGAAATTTGAGACCACTCGCCCGTCGTTAAGGTGCATTCTGGGCCCGTAGGTGTTGAATATGCGAGCCACGCGGACGTCGGTGTTCTCCATCTTGGCGTACGCGTACGTCAAGGTTTCCGCAATTCTCTTGCCTTCATCGTAGCAAGCGCGCGGGCCAATCGGATTAACGTGTCCCCAATACGTTTCGGGTTGCGGGTGTATTTCTGGATCGCCGTAAACTTCGGACGAGCTCGCAATCAAAATGGTCGCATTTACCCTTTTAGCCAAACCGAGCATGTTCAAGGTTCCTAAGCTGTTCGTCTTGATCGTTTTCACTGGATTTGCCATGTAATGTGGTGGACTGGCCGGACTTGCCAAGTGGTAAATTTGATCTACCTCGATGTAAAGCGGGTTAATAATGTCATGGTGGATCAGCTCGAAATTAGCGTGGTCTAGCCATTGCTCGACATTTTTTCTACGTCCTGTGAGGAAATTATCAACCACCACAACCTCATGTCCATCTCTAATTAATTTATCTACCAAATGCGAACCTACAAATCCTGCACCTCCAGTGATTGCAATTCGTTTTTTCCTTAAGTAATTTAAGAAAGTGACGTCTTCGTGCTGTTTTGGAATCCACGATTCTAACACGCGTAGCTTCTCTTGTAACTCGCGCACACCTGCAGCAGCATCTTCCAAACTACTCTTCAATAGCGAAGCTCGGGTATACACTTTTTCATTTCTGTCGCGTGAAGATAACAAATATATACTCGTAGTGAAAATTACCAGGAAACACACTAACCATCCCACTAATATTCTAAAATTGGTGAAGGAACAAAACATTGTGACGTTAACAGGTCAAATGTCTCTGTTAGAATATTTTAAGATTCACTGATAAGGCCTATCTCTAACTTTTGCTTCAATTACTGTTTGAGTATGTTGATGTAAATGCAATACAGTTCAATATTTGTGAAGTAAGTCCCATTACGATAATGACACGACATCTAATTAGGGCATAATTATGCTCTTGTTTACCACTCCATATTTGACTGGTATTTTATAATGATTACATTGTTTCATTTAGCTTGTACCTAAATTTCAAATGCCTGTGTATTCATTTTGAGGAACTTGTTCTGGAATCCGTAAATCTTGCTCGTCTTTATCGCATCTTTACCAAGACGATTTTATAGAAGAAATTTGAGCATGTAAAATTGTAAAGGAATCTTTGAAACTCTTTTTCAGCATTACACCATCCCTTCGCAGCTTAAGCTAACGCAGGTTGCGGCCTCCAAAACAAATCATTACATATAGGCTAACTACGACGCAAATAATAGCAACCAAGCGCCAGATTACAACGACACAAGACTCAAGACCACAAATGAAGGAAAAATCATTTTGAGTGTGATAAAGCATTCTATTGGTCAGCGTTCTTTCGGTCAATCAAGTCTGAAGTCTTCTTCACAAGGAATTACTTTTACAGGTGGTCGTATACTGAATATACCGATTCATCCCTTTGGGGCGTGGTGGTTTGTTAGCCCCTTGTTTTGAAAGTCGTAAAGTCCGTGTTACAGACACAAACAACAGAAGAAAAGAGAAAAACGAAAGAAAAAGGGAGAAGGGCGACATAAAAGTGATACTCTGGAATGTAGAGGGGGTAAAGCGACGCTCAATTCGGAGAGTTTGTAAGCGGATATGATGTCGTGGAGTGGTAGAATCATGGGTAGAAGGAAAGAATTGGAGGAAATTAAAGAACAGAGGAGAAAGAGGAGGAAGGAATACAGGTCAGACGAGTGACAGTGGAGGGGAAGACAATCGGAGTGATAACGATATACAACAAAGAAGGAAGAAGGAAAAATAAAACTGAAAATATGGTAAATAAAAGGGAGGAGGAGTGGCTAATATTGGGGGGGGGGGGGGGGGAGAATTTAATGCAAGAACAAAAATTAAGGGAAAATTGGTAGATATGGGAAGAGGGGGAAGATAGGAACGAGTAATTCACATACATGGGAGGAAGAGGGAGGTCGATAATTGTTTACACAATAGCAAATGAAAAAGTACTGAAGGAAGTAGATGAATTTAAGGTAGGCACAAAGATAGAGTCGGATTATAAACCGATCGAATTGAGTCTAAAAGGGAAATAAAATAATAAATAATAAATTATTATTTATTAAGATAAGATCAAGAAATAAAAAGATCTAAAGGCGAAGGGAGAAGAAATAGAAGGGGGCACAGCGGAGGAGTCGAATAATATAAAGTATATGAGGTAGACTGTGGAGTATTAAAAAAGCAATAACGTGGAAAAATAACTGAAGGGGCGAGGGGAGAAAAGGACAGGAGTGGTGGGACAGAGAGTGTACAGAAGAGAGCAGAAAAATGTTGGAGAAAGAAAGAAAATAGGAAATAGAATTGTTGAGGTCCATGTTGATCTTGAGTTTATTCACAAAATGGGGTTAACCGTTAATGGAAGGAAGGAAATAGATGTGTGAGAACAAAAAAAGCACAAAAGAAAAGCAAAGAAACAGAAACAATAAGAAGAGCAAATCAGGGAAATAAAAACTGAAAAATGAAAAATAGAACAAGTAGGAGGAAAATACAATTATAAGAATGGAAACAACATTTTATCAAATTACTGCAAAGAAAGCATGATAAAGAGGAGGCTATGGAAGAGATACGAAGAGAGAAGAGGACAGGGAGAGACGTGGTAGGCTGGGATTTTCGCCACAGATAGGGCCAAGAAAATGATGAGGAATTCGGACGGGGTAATAGTGTCGATTTTCAATAGAGGCGGCAATGACTATGTGGAAAATTATAGGGGAATCACGATAATGATGACGACGTATAGAATATACGCAATGGTACTAAATGAAAGATTAGAAAGAGAAATGGACGAGTAGAGGATGTTGGAATAAACATAAATGGGCTTCAGAAAAGGGAGGGGAACGATCGACTTTATACATGTATTGCATAAATAAAAAGGAATTGGCAAAAAACGGAAAGGTATTTGCGTTTTTCATAGAATTAAAGGCAGCGTTTGACAAAGTGGACAGAGAAAAATTATGCAAGATGATGGAAGATAGGAAAGTAGACAAAAAGGGCAGAATTAAGGAACTATATGGAGAGACAAGATTGAGGACAAGAATAGAACGGAAGGAGTCTGAAGTGTTTCTGGACATGTAAAGGACTAAGACAGAGATGTCCACTTACCCCTACCTTATTTAATCTCTACTTAACAGACACGGAAAAAGTATTAAGACAGGGCCTAGGTGGAGGAATAGTAGTGGAAAGAAGAAAGGTCCCTGACATAAACGAACGACGCGTTGCAACAGATGTAGAACAAATGAAGGAACTGATGGAAAGAATGGAAAGGTATTGGGGAAAGGAAAGGAATAGAGTCGAACATGATGAGATTTGGAAATGGTGGTAAAAGAAAAAGGGAGAAAATAATAGAAGATATCAGAGGAATTAGATATTTAGGGTGCAAAATGCAAAAAAAATAATGGGGCAAATGCTCAAATAAGAGAACTAAGGTAAAATAAGGTGGTAGTTATGTTACAGGTGTGGGGATAATGGAGAGAGTGGTTTCAAGAACAATTTCAGAACAAGGGAGCCGAGATATGGGAGTGGAGGGAATGGGATAAACTGGAAGGAATACAATGAAGGTATTATAAATATGCATTAGGGCTAAAGCGGAAGGAGACGAAATTGTATATAGGGTGTTTCATGAGGAATGGTACCTACGTTAATATGTTATCGATTTGTTCATTTTAAGCAGAAAAGTTCCTAAATGCTTAATTCTCAGAGGTGAATTGGCCAGCTCGGCCACCGGATCTTAATTCGCATTTCGATATTTTATGTACATATTTAAATAATTCACTGACAGTATCTCAGTTACCATTGAGAATTGCGTACCTACATGTTTTTAAGAACTTTTCTGCATCTATATAACAAAAATGGAGTAGACAGGACAGGGTCGGGACGCCGGGCGGTAAGGTTCGAGGAAAGAAGCCAATTGGTAACAGAATTCTTGACAACAAGGCTTTTTTGTTAAATTAAAAGTGTGTGGAGCCCCAAATGGCCCCTCCTGAGTACGCCAATGTCAATATGATCCGGGATGATTTCAGATGATGTTGATTCAAAATTTGAAATCAGGATCTATTGTGTAAGATTAATGTTGATTCATTACCCAAGGTGAATGAGAACTAGATATAATTCAAAATGACTCATGAGTGTTCAAGCACCAAAATTCCGGAGTAGGTAATAATTAAAGACTATTCAAGTTTCAAGAGTCCAGGATTTAAGACAATGTAAGATAAAATGTGATTCGGGAATCCAAGGTATGAGATTCTAAACTTGTACTTCAAGATGACATTAACCCAAATCTTCGAATTCCACGCCGAGAACTAAAAATTGTAAGTTTTCAATTTTATGAAAAAATGGCATTAATTATTCAAAAATAAGGATTATTCGTGGATTATTTTCAGGATTTAATATGATTCAGAATTCTAGAATGTTAAAGATTAATTAAAATCATTCAAAAATTAAGACAACAGTTTAAAGTTCGTTCGTTCAAGATCCTTCATCATATTTAAGACTCAAAGTGTTTCAAGATAATTAAAGATATTTCGGATTTCAACTGAACGCTCAAAATTCGAATCAGGTTGGAGCAACCCTGTAACGCAGGATTTCTTGAATTTCCTTATATCCGCTCGTACTCTGAGCGCGCGGACGATCTGTTAGATATAGTTTAACAAAATGATGATTTTTCAATATGTTCTGATGGTCTTGGTGAGCCTATTTTTCCTAGTTTGTCACAAACTATTGAAATCTGCAGCCTGTCCTATGCAATTTCAAAGCCATCATGATTTCTCTCCTCGAAATATCTTCAAAACGATACGTTGGATTATCGCATCCTTCAAAGGTTAAAGTTTGATTAAACAATCCAGTTTCAATTTAACATTTCATCTAATTAACTCCATTAATCGGAAATTTACTACATAAGAAATCATATATCACCACGTTTACTAAAAAGCAATTATCAAATCAAATGTGTTGCACGCGTATACACAAATATCAACTTACACAGAAAAAAAGTGAAATTAATATAATATTTCCGGTAGCATCCCTCATTTATTCAAACAACGCAAATAATTAGGGGAAGATGACAAAAAAAGCAATTAAGTGGCGGCAAAAGGATACTTTTTGTTCGACAGAATGAAAAACGCCTCTTGATTTTTGATTAGAGCTCTTGTCTCTTCCCCATTTTTTTATGTATAATCCACAGTATGTTTAATTTTCGTAAATAACGCCAAGTGTTTGCTATAAGGGGGTGGAAACCTGAAGTACGCGTATCACAGATGGAAATACCCTATTTAAATGCAAATTCTATATTTGTCACCTCAAGAAGAAAAAAGTTCGATCTTTCCCTCAAGTTTGCATATTTCCCAACAGACGGGTCGCATTAGGTGCCGATGTATTTCGAGATATGATGACGTCGCCGGTTGGGAAATTGTATTCCTTGTTGGACTTGGGGAAACATAGCGGTGGAGAGACTAATTATATCGCATTTTTCAGCTCGACATATTGTAGTATAACGACGACTTTTTTTATGTCACTTTCTCGAATCGCATTTTTTCTTCCGGTTGACAAATTTCCGTTTCGTTCTTGCTATCATTTGTTCTATCAGCGATGGCAATTTATTATTTGCTTACAAATTTCTATGCATACGTTTTAGCGCAAACAGTATAGACATTGATTACGCGAGAATTTTTGGCGTAAGCGTTCTGGGTGCTCCCTATACAAATCGCTAAGATGATAAATTTTGATCGAGCTGACAAAACTTTGAGGCGCAGAGAAATTTCTATTAACTGTATGATTACTTCAAAGTTTACGGCATCTGATAT